TGTAGTTGTTTTTGTGTAGGTGTATAGTTTGTTGTTGTTGTGTGTAGGTGTGTAGTTGTTGTGGTGTAGTTTGTTGTTTTTGTGTAGGTGTGTAGTTGTTGTTGTGTAGGTGTGTAGTTTGTTGTTGTGTAGGTGTGTAGTTTGTTGTTGTTGTTGTGTTGAGGTGTAGTTGTTGTTGTGTAGTTTGTTGTTGTTGTGTAGGTGTGTAATGTTGTTGTGTAGGTGTGTAGTTTGTTGTTGTGTAGGTGTGTAGTTGTTGTTGTGTGTAGTTTGTTGTTGTTGTGTAGTTTGTTGTTGTTGTGTAGTTTGTTGTTGTGTAGTTTGTTGTTGTTGTGTAGGTGTGTAGTTGTTGTTGTGTAGGTGTGTAGTTTGTTGTTGTGTAGGTGTAGTTTGTTGTTGTTGTGTAGGTGTGTAGTTGTTGTTGTGTAGGTGTGTAGTTGTTGTTGTGTAGGTGTGTAGTTGTTGTTGTGTAGGTGTGTAGTTTGTTGTTGTGTAGGTGTGTAGTTGTTGTTGTGTAGGTGTGTAGTTGTTGTTGTGTAGGTGTGTAGTTGTTGTTGTGTAGGTGTGTAATGTTGTTGTGTAGGTGTGTAGTTTGTTGTTGTGTAGGTGTGTAGTTTGTAGTTGTGTAGGTGTGTAGTTGTTGTGTAGTTGTTGTGTAGTTTGTAGTTGTGTAGGTGTGTAGTTTGTTGTTGTTGTGTAGGTGTGTAGTTTGTTGTTGTGTAGGTGTGTAGTTGTTGTTGTGTAGGTGTGTAGTTTGTTGTTGTTGTGTAGGTGTGTAGTTTGTTGTTGTTGTTGTGTAGGTGTGTAGTTGTTGTGTAGTTTGTTGTTGTGTAGGTGTGTAGTTTGTTGTTGTGTAGGTGTGTAGTTTGTTGTTGTTGTGTAGGTGTGTAGTTTGTTGTTGTGTAGGTGTGTAGTTGTTGTTGTGTAGTTGTTGTGTAGTTTGTTGTTGTGTAGGTGTGTAGTTTGTTGTTGTGTAGGTGTGTAGTTGTTGTTGTGTAGGTGTGTAGTTTGTTGTTGTTGTGTAGGTGTGTAGTTTGTTGTTGTGTAGGTGTGTAGTTGTTGTTGTTGTGTAGGTGTGTAATGTTGTTGTTGTCTAGTTTGTTGTTGTGTAGGTGTGTTGTTGTTGTTGTGCAGGTGTGTAGTTGTTGTTGCGTAGGTGTGTAGTTTGTTGTGGTGTAGTTGTTCTTGTGTAGGTGTGTAGTTGTTGTTGTTGTGGTGTGTAGGTGTGTAGTTGTTGTGTGTAGGTGTGTAGGTGTGTAGTTGTGCAGTTTGTTGTTGTGTAGGTGTGTAGGTGTTGTTGTGGTGTAGTTGTTGTTGTGTAGGTGTGTAGTTTGTTGTGGTGTGTAGGTGTGTAGTTGTTGTGGTGTAGTTGTTGTTGTGTAGGTGTGTAGTTGTTGTTGTTGTGGTGTGTAGTTGTTGTGTAGGTGTGTAGTTTGTTGTTGTTGTTGTGTAGGTGTGTAATTGTTGTGGTGTAGTTGTTGTGTAGGTTTATAGTTTGTTGTTGTTGTGTAGGTGTGTAATGTTGTTGTTGTCTAGTTTGTTGTTGTGTAGGTGTGTAGTTGTTGTTGTGCAGGTGTGTAGTTGTTGTTGTGTAGGTGTGTAGTTTGTTGTGGTGTAGTTGTTCTTGTGTAGGTGTGTAGTTTGTTGTTGTGTAGGTGTGTAGTTGTGGTGTAGTTGTTGTTGTGTAGGTGTGTAGTTTGTTGTGGTGTGTAGGTGTGTAGTTGTTGTTGTGTAGGTGTGTAGTTTGTTGTTGTTGTGTAGGTGTGTAGTTGTTGTGGTGTAGTTGTTGTTGTGTAGGTGTGTAGTTTGTTGTGGTGTGTAGGTGTGTAGTTGTTGTTGTTGTGTAGGTGTGTAATGTTGTTGTTGTCTAGTTTGTTGTTGTGTAGGTGTGTAGTTATTGTTGTGCAGGTGTGTAGTTGTTGTTGTGTAGGTGTGTAGTTTGTTGTGGTGTAGTTGTTCTTGTGTAGGTGTGTAGTTTGTTGTTGTGTAGGTGTGTAGTTGTGGTGTAGTTGTTGTTGTGTAGGTGTGTAGTTTGTTGTGGTGTGTAGTTGTTGTTGTGTAGGTGTGTAGTTTGTTGTTGTTGTGTAGGTGTGTAGTTGTTGTGGTGTAGTTGTTGTTGTGTAGGTGTGTAGTTTGTTGTGGTGTGTAGGTGTGTAGTTGTTGTTGTGTAGGTGTGTAGTTGTTGTTGTGTAGGTGTGTAGTTGTTGTTGTGTAGGTGTGTAGTTGTTGTTGTGTAGGTGTGTAGTTGTTGTTGAGTAGGTGTGCAATGTTGTTGTGTAGGTGTGTAGTTGTTGTTGTGTAGGTGTGTAGTTGGTGTGGTGTAGTTGTTGTTGTGTAGTTTGTTGTTGTTGTTGTGTAGGTGTGTAGTTGTTGTGGTGTAGTTTGTTGTTGTTGTGTAGGTGTGTAGTTGTTGTTGTTGTGTAGGTGTGTAATGTTGTTGTGTAGGTGTGTAGGTGTGTAGGTGTGTAGTTTGTTGTTGTGTGTAGTTTGTTGTTGTTGTGTAGTTTGTTGTTGTTGTTGTGTAGTTTGTTGTTGTTGTGTAGGTGTGTAGTTGTTGTTGTGTAGGTGTGTAATGTTGTTGTGTAGGTGTGTAGTTTGTTGTTGTGTAGGTGTGTAGTTGTTGTTGTGTAGTTTGTTGTTGTTGTTGTGTAGGTGTGTAGTTTGTTGTTGTGTAGGTGTGTAGTTTGTTGTTGTGTAGGTGTGTAGTTGTTGTGTAGGTGTGTAGTTGTTGTTGTGTAGTTGTTGTTGTGTATGTGTGTAGTTGTTGTGTAGGTGTGTAGTTTGTTGTTGTGTAGGTGTGTAGTTTGTTGTTGTGTAGTTGTTGTTGTGTAGGTGTGTAGTTGTTTTTGTGTAGGTGTGTAGTTTGTTGTTGTTGTGTGTAGGTGTGTAGTTGTTGTGGTGTAGTTTGTTGTTTTTGTGTAGGTGTGTAGTTGTTGTTGTGTAGGTGTGTAGTTTGTTGTTGTGTAGGTGTGTAGTTTGTTGTTGTTGTGTTGAGGTGTAGTTGTTGTTGTGTAGTTTGTTGTTGTTGTGTAGGTGTGTAATGTTGTTGTGTAGGTGTGTAGTTTGTTGTTGTGTAGGTGTGTAGTTGTTGTTGTGTGTAGTTTGTTGTTGTTGTGTAGTTTGTTGTTGTTGTGTAGTTTGTTGTTGTGTAGTTTGTTGTTGTTGTGTAGGTGTGTAGTTGTTGTTGTGTAGGTGTGTAGTTTGTTGTTGTGTAGGTGTAGTTTGTTGTTGTTGTGTAGGTGTGTAGTTGTTGTTGTGTAGGTGTGTAGTTGTTGTTGTGTAGGTGTGTAGTTGTTGTTGTGTAGGTGTGTAGTTTGTTGTTGTGTAGGTGTGTAGTTGTTGTTGTGTAGGTGTGTAGTTGTTGTTGTGTAGGTGTGTAGTTGTTGTTGTGTAGGTGTGTAATGTTGTTGTGTAGGTGTGTAGTTTGTTGTTGTGTAGGTGTGTAGTTTGTAGTTGTGTAGGTGTGTAGTTGTTGTGTAGTTGTTGTGTAGTTTGTAGTTGTGTAGGTGTGTAGTTTGTTGTTGTTGTGTAGGTGTGTAGTTTGTTGTTGTGTAGGTGTGTAGTTGTTGTTGTGTAGGTGTGTAGTTTGTTGTTGTTGTGTAGGTGTGTAGTTTGTTGTTGTTGTGTAGGTGTGTAGTTGTTGTGTAGTTTGTTGTTGTGTAGGTGTGTAGTTTGTTGTTGTGTAGGTGTGTAGTTTGTTGTTGTTGTGTAGGTGTGTAGTTTGTTGTTGTGTAGGTGTGTAGTTGTTGTTGTGTAGTTGTTGTGTAGTTTGTTGTTGTGTAGGTGTGTAGTTTGTTGTTGTGTAGGTGTGTAGTTGTTGTTGTGTAGGTGTGTAGTTTGTTGTTGTTGTGTAGGTGTGTAGTTTGTTGTTGTGTAGGTGTGTAGTTGTTGTTGTGTAGGTGTGTAGTTTGTTGTTGTTGTGTGTAGGTGTGTAGGTGTGTAGGTGTGTAGTTTGTTGTTGTTGTTGTGTAGGTGTGTAGTTTGTTGTTGTTGTTGTGTAGGTGTGTAGTTTGTTGTTGTTGTGTAGGTGTGTAGTTTGTTGTTGTTGTGTAGTTTGTTGTTGTTGTGTAGGTGTGTAGTTGGCTACGTACGGTGCGAAAGAAGTTCAACACACAAACACAAAGATCCCCCTGTAACCTCTAACAGACTGAAAGGGCAAGGGCTGTTTAGTAAGCACCACACACACACACAGACACACAGACACACACACAGACAATACACACACACATACACACACACACAGACACCCACACACAGACACACAGACGCACAGACACCCACACAGACACCCACACAGACACACCTACACAGACACACACACAGACCCACAGACACCTACACAGACACAACAAAGACACACACACAGACCCACAGACACCCACACAGACACCCACACAGACACACACACACACAGACACACACACACAGTCCCACAGACACCTACACAGACACATACACAGACACACACACAGACCCGCAGACACCCACACAGACACCCACACAGACACACACACACAGACACACACACAAACCCACAGACACCTACACAGACACACACACAGACCCACAGACACTCACGCAGACAATACACTCCAACCCCCTTATACCCTCTAACCCTACCCACTCCGCCTACCCCAGCCACTCCCATCACCACCACCATCACCACCACCACGTACCTGCTATAAAAAGCCACTCAAGTTTAGATGACACACAGCTGTAGAGACACGGACAGAGAGACAGGCTGATAGACACACAGGAGAGACAGACAGACACACACACAGGAGAGACACACACAGGAGAGACACAGACACACAGACACAGAGAGACAGACACAGAGAGACAGACAGACAGACACACAGAGAGACAGGCTGATAGACAGACAGACACACACAGGAAGAGACACACAGACACACACAGGAGACACACAGGAGACACACAGACACAGAGAGACAGAGAGACAGACACACAGAGAAACAGGCTGATAGACACACAGACAGACAGACACACACACACAGGAAGAGACACACACAGACACACACACAGGACACACACACAGACACACAGAGATACCACCAACACCACAAGCCTCATCATCACCATCAGTATGGCAGGCAAAGGGATCGTGACCGTGGTGAGGCCGTTCCCTCTCATCGGCCTTTCGTGCTCAGTTGTGGCCGCGACCCTGTGCCTCCTGTCGCTGGCCAACTCTGCGTGGGTCACAGCGGACAACTTGAGCCTCTCGCTGTGGGAGATGTGCAAGCTCAAGAGTGGCAAGGCGGGGGGCCAGTGGGACTGTGTGGACGCAAGGACCACGGGTGAGAGACACGGGGTGGGGTGGGTGGGGTGGGTGGGTGGGGAGAGACACGGGGAGAGACACGGGGGGGGGGGAGAGACACGGGGGGGGAGAGACACAGAGACACGGGGAGGGAGAGAGACACAGAGACACGGGGAGGGAGAGAGACACAGAGACACGGGGAGGGAGGGGGGTGGTGAGAGACACAGAGACACGGGGAGGGAGAGAGACACAGAGACACGGGGAGGGAGGGGGGTGGGGAGAGACACGGGGGGGGGGGGGAGAGACACAGAGACACGGGAGGGGGGGAGAGACAGAGACGCGGGGAGAGACACAGAGACACGGGGAGAGACAGAGACACAGAGACACAGGGAGAGACACAGAGACACGGGGGGGGGGGGAGAGACACAGAGACACGGGAGGGGGGGGGAGAGACAGAGACGCGGGGAGAGACACAGAGACACGGGGAGAGACAGAGACACAGAGACACGGGGAGAGACACAGAGACACGGGGAGAGACACAGAGACACGGGGAGAGACACAGAGACACGGGGGGGGGGGAGGGGGGTGGGGAGAGACACGGGGGCGGGGAGAGACACAGAGACACGGGGAGAGACACAGAGACACAGAGACACGGGGAGAGACACAGAGACACAGAGACACGGGGAGAGACACGGAGACACAGAGACACGGGGAGAGACAGAGACACGGGGGGCGGAGAGACACAGAGACACGGGGAGAGGAACAGAGACACAGAGACACGGGGGGGGGGGGGGGGGGGAGACACACAGAGACACGGGGTCTAGCTGGTGGTGGTGGTGGAGAAATGGTGGTGGTGGATAGATGGTGGAGAGATGGTGGTGGAGAGATGGTGGTGGTTGAGAGATGGTGGTGGTGGAGAGATGGTGGTGGTGGTGTAAGAGGCAGGGTCGAGTTTGTGGATGAGTGAGTGATAGTGGAGAGATGGGTGGTGGTGGTGGTGGTAGTAGTGGAGAACATGTGGTGACGGTGATGATGGTGTTCACCGCCCTTGCAAGATGATGTGCCGGGCTGAGTATCGGTAAGGAAGGTCGACAAGGCGAGTACGTGGACTCCAGGACTGAGTTGAGTGCAGTGTTGGTGTCAATGTTGAGGAGCGGTGGTGGTGGTGGTGGTGCTATTGTGGTGTTTGGGGCGATGGTTCTGGCCAGAGTTTGGTGTCCAACGTGGCCACGAAGCTAATAGCTCGGTGAGCTATTAGCTCTTTTTAAATCAAGATAGTTTCCTCCGATACCAAGGTTCTCTGCAAACCCACGGGCTTTTTGTTTAATAAGAGATTTGTTGTCCACGAGGCGATTCAGATTTACAAACGCAGACACAATTTCAACCGAGAGGATGCTTTCAATTTAAGCAACCATTGGAAAGATGTTCTGAATCGAACCAAACGTTAAGCTAATTTTCAATGGTGCGGTATATTTTTTCAAGTAGTGGTATACCCCGAATGTTCGCAGCTTCTTAAAATTCCCTTTTCACACCATCAATAGGTAAACTCCCCCTCCCCCCCGTTGCCTGTCTGCACATGTTCACCCTCTGTACAACGTTCATCATGCTAAGTCCGCCAATTAAATGCTAATTTTTTTATGCTAATTCCTTTTGTCAAGGCACCGTAATTACTCTCACTCAGCTGAAAGGTCCGCGGTCTGAGCGTGGCTGTGTTTCACTCCAGCGCTGTCCTCTGGACAGCCCGGTCCCTTCGCCTGATGAAGGCCGCTTGTGTTGTGGCCGAAACGTCGTGAGATTTTTGTTGTTTTAAAATTATTTTTTTTACCCACGTGACTTTACCGAATAGAACCAAAGAGTGTGGATGCTTGCAGTCACGAAAGCTTCACATCTAGAGTTGTCCAAAGAACCTTCCTTATGTTGGCTTTAACGAAGTGGCCGAGTAATACGAATTCGTGCAGGTCAAGATTCAGTTAAAATTCGTTGCCTATTTCTTTTCGCCCGTCAGGTTTTCTCGTTTTAACGTGCTCCGCCTCGCCGTTGTTTTCGTTTGTCCTCATCGCTGTATCCTCCAAATCTTGTAACTCGATTTTGACCCGCTTGCCAATGTGATATCGGCCGCGGTACCCGGTACACCTTCTTTGGTCCTTTCGGTAAAGTCACCACCGCGTAGAATGGGAATAAAAATAATAAATTGATGAAATAAAAATAACGCGATGAAATTCTCGCGACGTTTCGGGCCACAACACATAGCGGCCCTTCATCAGGTTGAAGGGACGAGACTGTCTGGAGGACAGCGCTGGAGTCTCGTCCCTTCACCTGAAGACGGCCGCTTGCATTGTGGCCGAAACGTCGTGAGAATTTTATCACGTTATTTTATTATCTCATTCTCATTCTACGCGGCGGTGACTTTTACCAAAAGAACCAAAGAAGATTAATCCTCCTTGCGGTCACGAAAGCTTCAAATCGAAAACTTGGTACGCTTACGTCATCCTGATGACAATAACTATATTCCATCAAAATAAATATTTTTTTAAACGTCCTTTTTTTTGTTTTTTACGCGTTATGCTTCGTTCGGATTAGGTCTAATTTGTCCACGCTCGGCTCACGTTGGCTGTAATCCCCTTACGTTGTGGCAAAGCCTCGGTGGCCACTTGCCGAAGTCGTGGAGTTCTGGCATTACGAGTTTACACTTTACATTATGAGACCTCCTTTGCCAGTAACAAGAAATTGTGATAGGTTTTTACCCTTTTAACTGGGCACAAAAACTGACACCTTTATTTATTCAAGGCGTCATGTTTGCAATAACCACAACACAAGCAGTCAAAAATGCAAACAAAAACGAAGACAGCTCTGGTAATGATATTGGCACTGTCCTTGAATCTGATTGGTCCACACCAGAGACGGCTTTTCTTAGAGCCCTTTAGTCTCCACTGGTGTTGGACCAGAAGACGCCAAAAGGCGTACAACTCAAAAACAGCGCACTATCAGAGTATTGAGGGCTCGGGGTGAGCATTTACATTATGAGACCTCTTTAAACAGTAACAAGATATAGTAATAGGTTTTTACCCTTTTAACTGGCACGCCTTTTGGCGTCTTCTGGTCCAACACCAATGGAGACTGAAGGGCTCTAAGAAAAGCCGTCTCGGGTGTGGACCAATCAAATTCAGGGACAGTGCCAATATCATCATCAGAGTTGTCTCTTTTTTGTTTGCATTTTGACTGCTTGTGTTGTGGTTATTGCAAACATGATGCCTTGAATAAAGGTGTCAGTTTTTGTGCCCAGTTAAAAAGGGTAAAACCTATTACTATATCTTGTTACTGTTAAAGGAGGTCTCATAATGTAAATGCTCACCCCAAGCCCTCAATACTCTGATGGTGCGCTGTTTTTGAGTTGTACGCCTTTTGGCGTCTTCTGGTCCAACACCAATGGAGACTTAAGGGCTCTAAGAAAAGCCGTCTCGGGTGTGGACCAATCAAATTCAGGGACAGTGCCAATATCATTATCAGAGTTGTCTCTTTTTTGTTTGCATTTTGACTGCTTGTGTTGTGGTTATTGCAAACATGATGCCTTGAATAAAGGTGTCAGTTTTGTGTGCCAGTTAAAAGGGTAAAAACCTATTACTATGAGTTTACGCTTCTTAAAAGCGTGTTTAAAAAAAAATGCGTGTTTAAAAAAAATATATCACTTCTTTTTGAAGAAGTTACCTCCTTACCCGTCCACATATTCTGCTCTCCGTGTCGTGGTGTTGCTAATGCAACCTTCCGACAGCGCGTGGCCCCTTACTGTGACTGTCCGCTCGCAAAAGAGCTTCACAGATCATCGGATTCCTCTAGCCGCCGATACTGGTGGCTGAATTTCCAGGTGCTGCTGAGCCACTTTTGTTTGAGCCTACACCTGTTGAGCCAACCCAGGTAAATTTTGATTTAAAGCTTTCGTGACTGCAGTAATTCATATTCTTAGTTTTTTCGGTAAAGTCACGTTGAAGAGAAACAACAAAATAACAAAATATATATAAAACAATAAAAAAATTCTCACGACGTTTCGATGATGACCGTTTGAGTTATGGTCGAAACGTCGTGAGAATTTTTTATTGTTTTATATATATTTTGTTATTTTGTTGTTTCTCTTCAACGTGACTTTACCGAAAAAACTAAGAATACCAACCCAGGTAGTTTTTTTTTTTACCTGTGTGTGTGTGTGCGTGTTTATGTTTTATAAAGCGACTCGCTTAACAAATACCCGGCTTTGCCAGGGACTTGGAATCTTGTCCCGGGTTCATTCACGGCCTACCCGGAGGATGTGGGGCAGGATGCGTGACGTCAAGCAGGCGCACTGCGTGACGCTGCCGCATGCGGGTGACGTCACAGTAGTGACGTCACAGATGTGACGTCACCGCTCACTTGGCGTGCAAAATATATTCATTAATGCCCACACCCCCGCCCCCCCCACCCCCCCAAAAATACAAAAGTACATTTTTTATAGTTTTTGCATTGTGTACAGTCTGGAAGCTACCCACATGCCAAATTTCAAGTTTGTTGCATGTCGGGAAGTTTGCTGAACATTTCGAATCGAACAGACACACACACACTCACAAATATCCCTTTATTATTATATATATAGACAATTAGCTTGACTACCCGGCTTCGCCCGGGACTTGGATCCACCACGCGCCAGTGGCGATGTTCACACAGAATACACCGGTTACTCGTTTGAGGCTGAGTCGACCTAGGGGAGGCCCAGGAGCGGTTGTGGTAATGGTCAGCGGTGGTGGCCGTGAGCGGGAATCGAACTCGGGTCGCCGGGTTCGTAGCGCGGCGTAGCGCGCTAACCACTACACCCACCGCTCCCCCCCCACACACACACACAGATACACACACACAGATATACACACACACACACAGATACACACACACAGATACACACACACACAGATACACACACACACACATACACACACACAGATACACACACAGATACACACACACAGATACACACACACACAGATACACACACACAGATACAGACACACACACACACAC